AGCACAAGGGACGTTTACATTTATACCCCCCAAAACAGAGCAGTGAAATTGTATTGCAGCAGACCCACAAATATCTACTCTTAAATGTATGCGGTAATATGATCTGAGCAAATTTAGGTTGAAATTCGAAGAAGAAAAAAAATCATTTGCAAAATAAAATTACCTGAAATGAGATGAGACACGACAGTTGATCTTGTCCTTTGTAATCTGTGTGGCGCCAGCATGTATGTCAGAATACTGTGAATCATGCCTGAGCTGTCGTCTGGACGGCGTGTTCACATTGCAAGTGTGGTCTCTGGATTGTGATATCTCGATATCTCATACATGTAGGTGTGAACGTGCTCATTGTATTTTGAAGGGAGAAATATTGTCCACTCCAACGTACCATTAGTGCTTTATAATTTTGACACATCTTGGCTATGACAGTGCATGAAGATGTCACATGATTGCATCCCCCCCCCCCCAGGAATTCAATATTTCATCACAAGGATTATGAAAACAAGATAATAACCACATTTCAGAATTATCAATACATAAGTGAATTAAATTAGTTTGAGCAGTATTTTACGTCAGTTTGTAATCTGAACGTGAAGAAATCAATTACCGTGATAAAAAAAATCATTCATCTTAAATCCTTTCCACACTGATTTCATTGTGTCCATGGGATTTTTTTTAGATGATATACATGTAGTTACACTGTACATGTATGTATTGTAAAGATTTTCATTCTGGCACCTGGGATATCAAGATTTTTGTTAAAGATAAAGACCAGTTATGGTCATGCGATTGCATTGTGAAAGAAACGTGGAATCGATCATAAAAGGTTGATGATCTAGCAAATAAGTATTGGTGTATACTGCAAGGTTCTGGAATCATCAAAATGATAAAAAATTTGGCCCAGTCTTGGTAAAGTTACAAGCACTGTACACAGAAAGATGTATATGGGACTACGCACACGTGCGCGACACATGCGTTTATCTCTCACACACCAATAGATAAACTAATTTACCAAATATATCAATTAGTAGGCAGTTTCCCGGCAAATTTTTTATCATCATGTATTAGTCAAACATATTCTTTCACATGATTGGTAATAAGAGCTTCCATTTCATTTTTTGAAATTGGGGCGTTTCCAAAACTGGTCTTTACCTTTAAACAACAACAGAGTGAGTCTTTATGATCAGACTAGAGATTATATCTTTTCTTTCTTGAGGAAAGTTCTTGCCATTCTCGACTTCTCGTTCTTTTTTAACCCCCGATTTTTTTCCAGTACAGTATCACATGATCAGATAACTCCTGAAGTAACTTTATGCACCAAGTGATACATTAGTTGCCATGGCAACAGTCTGGAACCGTTGATCGTAAAATCAATAAAATGATGTTGAGCCGAGATGCAGAGCCCATAATTGCATGCTAGAGTTACCCAGTATTAGCTGTAATATCGGTAGTATACATTTCACCAAGCATCAGTATCACAATCTATTGTGTGAACATGCATGGAGAAGATTTGAGAGTTTTTTTTTCTGGTTTAAGATAAGATGTTTACAGATTATTTGGCTTCCATCGTCTCATTTTATTCAACTGGATTGAAATCTTATCCTTGAATTGAGAGGATTGCGAATAGTTTTTCATTTTTGGTTACATTTTGTAAAGGAGCTTATCATCTAGTCAGTGGCAAAAGGAAATTAATCCTGTTTTATATGGTAATGCCCTGAATTGCTTTGAGCAGATTACATCATTACATCAATAATGTTAAATTCCATTTCTATTATATTTTGACCTATGTTTATTTATTACTCTTTTTGGTTGTTATGGTTTATTTCTCATTATGCTGTCTCTCCCTTTAGTTCTGTCAATTTTTAAATTTTCCATGCCCCCCCCCCCCAAATTCCATTAGACCATTCTATCCTTGTCTCTCTCATCATTTGAAAGTACAATACTTTGATACATGTATGAATAATAATCTCTTGACAAAGAAATTCCCATCTCTCCCTCTCTTTTTCTCTCCCTTGATCTCACTTTATCTACCTCTCACTCTCTTTTACTTCTCAAAAGTTAAACCTATACAAGGCTTTGACAAAGAGACACTGATTTTGTAAACGGGCTGCTTCAATTAGCCTACTATGCATACATTTGTAGCTTCATACATTCATTCGCTCATCTCTCTCTCTCCCCCTTTCTTTGATCTCAATTTATCCCCCTCTCACTCTCTCTTACTTTTCAAAAGTAAAACTTATACATGCTGTAGGCTTCAACCGAGAGACACTAATTTCACAAATTGGCAATGCTTTATTGAATAAACCTTATGCATGTACAGGGGTAGCTTTGTATAGTCATTCACAAAACTATTGGCTAACTTTATCCATTCACAAAATCATTGACAAGCTTTATGTTATCCTTCTTAATCACCTCCTCTTTGCATCTATCTTTCCCTTCTTGACTTGTCCAATTTCAACTTGAATGTAATCCATGACAGGTAGGACAGTTGTGAGTTGTGACGCCCCCCCCCCCCCCCCCCCCCCCCCCCGTGAGAACATCACTGCACAATACATGTTACACAAGTAACTTCCATTCAGACTACCAAAATTTATTGTATAGCTATACGAAAACTGTATAGCTATACAATAAGTAACTCATTTCTATCTATTCTGAATGTTATACTATAACTTATCTTGAAAAGCATGTTTTAGCACTCATCCACTTCTGGGTCACCGTGTCGAATATAAATATTCCACAGTACTGCAACTGCAACAATTACTGCAAGAGGTTTGTGCAATTTCAAACGTAAATCATTCAGACAAATTAATAAGAACAAAAATCAGGGTCCCATTCTTGTCTGAATGTCTTACGAAAAATGTAGAACGGGGCGGGGCTTATCACGAGTGTGCACTGATGATTGGCCACGTGTGATGTCAGCTCGCCTCTTCAAAACTCTTGCGTATGCCTCTTTCACAATACAGTGATTCCTGAATCTTGATACAATGTTTTTGCATACAAAGTCTTGTGTAAATCTCCTGTAGTCTGAAGAGGTCTTGATTGGCTAATGTTAGGGCTTTGATAGGTCATGTATTCATTCATGGCTGACTTTCCTTGCATCTGACGTAAAAATTAAGCACCGGTCACGTAATCAATCAGTGAAAGAAACCGGGGGTATTTGGAAAAGGTTGATTAAATAAAACCAGTAAATACAAAAATATGTTATCTGTGAGGTTTTGGAGTGATCAACTTGAAATTTTAGAAATTAATCCAATCATGTAGAAAATCACATGCACCGCACACAGAAATGGTGGGAATGCTCATTCATGTTGTGTGATTCTGAGTTTCTGACTAGTATGAATGTTTAATCCACACTTTTCAGGTACATGCATTTCTCATCATATTTAAAATGTGATGGACATCCTATCCTTATCAGGGTAAATTACACCTTCAATATTTTTCTAAAGTGACATAGTGTAGAGCAAAAGCAACAAAAAAAAAAGCATACAGATTATTTTTTTTGTCTTGACCAGAACTTAACCTTTTCTTGAGGAGTCTGGCTCTTTCAAATTCAAGGATATTCTAGGAAATTGACATTCAGCTTGATGCCTGCAGGCTGAAGTGCATTACATTACATGGGTTTCCAAGAAATATTTTCAAATGTTTTAAATTTAGTAAGCAAGGTCACTGTGAAGTGAATTAAAAGCATTCAATGTATCTACATTCTACAAGTCTACCCTACTTCCATTTGATATTTGATATTTTGATTAAGGGTCAGTACTTTAAAAATAACCAGTATACTCTCTCAAGGCTCGTTCAGATATACTGGCATTTTTTGTTATGACGTAAAGTGTAATATACTTTACACTTCTGTATTTTATAACACAGAGTTCAGTGAATATGGGCAAGTCCTTTGCTGCATTCAGATGCCATTCATTTATACTGCAGTGTGTTTTTTTTGGTGGCGGTTTACTGTGCCATACCTGAACAAGCCTTCATATGATAAAATCTTTGAGAAAAGAATATCCAATTTTGTATAATTCATAGTAAACTAAGTAAATGTAAATGATTAACGTGATATATGATGAGATAGAAAGAAATACGTTTCACTGAGTAAGCTTTGACAAGTGAACATCATTCAATTCCACTTGACAATCATTCATGAAAGTTTTAAAGTCACTCTATTATTCAGCACCAGTGGAAAGAATTCATACTGACATTGGTCTAGACACCACAGGGTCATGGACAATTTGGTGAACCAACTGTCAAAGTTGGTTTGTATTTATCAAATTGGCACCCATCCATGTGTACAGTGCTCTATAGCTAATTACTGTAAGTACATACACCTGGGGGGTGTTTCACAAAGATCCTAAGTAGAACTTAACTCTAAGTTGGACTTAAAAATTATGGACAGCCATTGGAGTCTTAAAATGAAATATATTCAAAAGCAGAAATTCAAGTATTTTAGACTTTTTATGAATTCCACATCCAGAACATGAAATCTCCTTGATGATAGACAATATGAATGATTTGAATAAACAATTAATGCCTTTCAAAATAACTTTTACAAAATATTTTCAAAGATGCTAATGGCTTTCCATAATTTTTAAGTCCAACTTAGAGATGAGTTCAACTTAGGATCTTTGTGAAACACCCCCCCCCCCCCCCCCCCCCCCTGTACATGTAGTACCAGCAGCAAGTGAAGTTGCCATTCGGTATTTGATGACATTTCTTAGTATTTGTAGTGACAACACAGTTTTGGTAAGGGTCAAGACTTCACAGAGGGGTTAACAAAAATCATTGACTGTACTTTCTAAGAGATCAAAAAATGGACAAATTCATATGTAGGTTAGATTTGGATGATATTTATACTGAAATCAATGGCATAGATTGTAATAATCGTGATATATGCTGATGTTATGCAGGGCCCCAAGTATAACAGTATTTTAACCACTGATGGGGCTACCCTGTTGAAATGAAACGAAATAAATAAATAAATGAAATATTTTGTCTGTCTTTTGCAGCCTGGGTACCCACTGCACCAGCCAACCATCCACAGAGGACAAGGATCCCCCACCCTTTGACAAACAGCCCGCCAACGCCCCCCTCCAGGAGATCGCCCCGCCGTCATCAGAACCCTGCCCACCGGTCAGGCAAGAAGTGGCCGTGCCTGTGGCCCAACCGTCGCCGTCGCCAGGGAAACCGCCTCCAGACAAGTCGTCTTCGTCCCACCCGAACTTACTGCTCTACGATGACGAAGTCCGCAACATGCTCCTCGGGAGGATATCGGTGGTCAAATGCAAAGTCAAACCGATGATGATCCGCATCTACGTCAGTGCATCGCATGATGGTAAATTTTCTCCCAATTTCTATTTCAAAACATATTTTCGCACATTATGACGTCACTCAATAGAGTCGCCCTTTCTACAGTCTGTCTGATACCATAGCAACACAAACTCTATGAATACATAAAGCCAGCTCCCAAATTGAAGAGTTTGTCTAAAAACATCTTTCCAGAAGTTGAGGGCTGCGGGCACATCAAGCTACTTTGCTTATTCTGTAGCCCTCCTGCATCTAATGTATGATAACTATGCATTCAATATATTTGTTTAATTTCATATATATTATCTGTATAAAATTATGTACACTTGAAATGTTGTATCAAACCATATTATGTTCATGAAAATGTATGATGAAAAAGAAAGAAAAAAGGTGCAGAAACCAATAAATCAAAATCAAATCAAATCAAAAGGCAAAATTATGAGTACTTGTCCTACCTACCGTGGAATATGTTTTTCTTGCTGTGGATAATGCTGGGAGGCTTACCTTGCTCATAAAAAGAGAAATTCCTGTCATCATTCATCAAATATAAAAATCTATGCTTCATAAATGGGTTTATTGTTTCAGATATTTCAGGCATTTTAGAGAGAGAGAGGACATAGTGGAATAGATTTAAAATCAATTGATGGATCACATTGCCTCGTGTCTAGGAAATTGGAGATTGCTCAAAATCATTCTTGCTTACTGATAGTATCTGAGAAGAGAAGATAAGATAAGATTTCATGAGATTCTGCCATTTCTTGGTACATGATGATCAGATTTTTGCTTTGACAAAACTTCTAACCTGTTTTATTTCATAAAAATCCTAAGCTTAAGTTTAGGGTTTGGTTTGCAATCATGTTTAAGTTCGGTTTAGGTTTAGGGTTAGGTGTAGGAGTAGGCACTGTGTTCACTCGAAAGTTCAAAGTGGGAATTTGACAGTCGGTGTAAGAGCTTGACCGTCTTGCAGTATTCTGTGGAGTACGTGTAGGCCTATATTTTTTGGCCTTTCTTGCTACTTTTATGCCTTAAATTAATTAAAGATCGAAAAGTGTCATTTTCCTCTAATTCAGGACATTAATTTACATCTGTACTTTTATTGGAGTTTTGACAGTGTAAGAATTTGACTTCCTTGCTGTAAATTTCTGTGGAATATGGTAGAGGCCTATATTTTGTTGGCCTTTCTTGAATACCCCCCCCCCCCCCCCCTAAATTGAGGATGTTCTGTTACTTCTCTGATAACATCAAATTTACTGAGGTTGTTAGAAGATGGGTCAGTGTGACACGACTTGAATCGGACCAAGAATAGAATCATCAGCTGTTCATTTACAAGCTGGTGCCTGGTTGGCCTAGGGTCCAAGCCGCTGATCTTGACTGATAAAGACGCTACAATGACTGCCTGCGAGCCCCTCCTCATCATGATGGGCTGAGCCAGCCATCTAGGCAGGCAGGCAGGCAGGCAGGCAGCCACAGGGTACAGCACTTGCAGACGGAGCTCCCAAATGTCAGGGGTCACTGGAACTGGGTGTCCCAGCATGCATTATCAGCTTGGATGCATGCACTCTGTGGCGTTGGCGTGGCGGGTTCGTGTGTGCGAGTGAGGGTGTGTGTGTGTGTGTGTGTGTGCTTCTCGCGTGTCAGGAGCAGCTGGTTATATCACTTCACGTTGCCCCCCTGTCCTCCGTGATGACATGACAGTATGTGTCAAGGCATCTTCATCAAGATATCTTCTCTTTCAGTTGAGATCTCTCCATTTCTGTCTTGTCTTGTCATTTGCCAACAGATAGATCACCCCCTCTACCCTTCCCCTCCGTAATGTGCCAAAGGTTTTTTTTCTTCTCTCCAATCAGAGATTCTCTCTCCAATCAGAGATTCTCTCTCCATTTGAATATTTCTGTATTTATGACTCATTCTATGTTTTGCTAAGTCACCCTCTATGACCTTTGTATTGTGGTGTGTGGTATTTTGCTTGCCTTTCCCTTCTTGTGATCATTTATTGATCTCTTCATCTGCCATTTGCTACCTTACTTTAAAAAAAATCATATCCTAATTCCTATGCTGTGATCAACTTTTTGTATTCGTCTCTCTCTCTCTCTCTCTCTCTCTCATTCTTTTTGCCATCTTTTACCCTCTTCCTTGCTCTATCCCATCTACCTGTACATGTATCTCTCCCTCTGTTCTCTTCCCCCTCTCTCTCCCTCTTTCACTCTTCTGTCATCCCCTCTTCTCTTTCTCTCTCTCTCTCTTTCTTTCTTCTCACTTTTTATTCATCCCTACCTCTCTGTCTCTTTCTTCTCTCTTTCTATCTATCTTTTTCTTTATATAATGTCTCCCCCCCCCTCTTCCTCTCTATCTTGTCCTTCTTCCTCTCTATCTTGTCCTTCTTTATCTTGCTCTTCTTGTTCTGAAGGGTTCTGCTTGTGTGGAAGACTTCTCTGTAGATGAGGAGGCCCCATGATAGGTGCGAATTGAGAGATAATCAATGAAGTCTTTGCAGGCATTTCAACTATTTTGAGTTGATCAACTCCACTTTTCTTGGTGCTGTGCCTGTGAAAGTGTCCTAGAGGCTGTTCACACCGCAATGAGATAGCGCGGTCTATCGTAGCACCCCCTTTTTTCTAGCGCGCGCTAGCCCGCGCTATCTCTCGTGGACCACCCCCAAGAGGTGCTCCAGTGTTGGCTCGCCGTGGCTCGCTGTTGGGCGGACCGAAACGACGTTGTACCTTCCAAACCGCGGAGATAGCGCGGTCTGGCGCGCGCTATCTCTGCCGGTGTGAACAGCCTCCTAGATGTGGCAATATTCATTATTTTCAATTTCAATGAAATATATGAATGACTTATGCATGGTTCAAAGGTAACATGCCGTAAAGTGAAATGTTTTGTGAATGGCAGTGCAATAGTGAATTTTGTTTTTGGTTACCGGTAGTTGTTGAATTCAGAACTTAGAACAAACCAGTTGATTAATTTTATGCCTGTAATGTGAGGCAACATCAGCTTTCTCCCTCTTCACTTGCTCTTTGACTTTAATTTCAGATTGAACTGAATTGACATTTATTTTCCATCATCATGACAATATATATGCAAAGATAAAAGATGGAATATCATAACAGATAACAATATCAAAATTAGATATAAATTGACCTAACAACATCTAAAATTTTAAAGAAAATATGAAACTAGGATAAACCATTGTACAAAAGGAAAATGGTGCATCCGTAAAAGCCAATAGCCGAAAATTGGATTGAAAAGGAATGGATTCATTATTATGGAAATTATGAAATTTCATCTACATATATAATGGTATTCTGCCCTTGCCCTAAGCATGGACCTGAAGCTGAGTTTGGTACCAATAATCCTGTATCTAATATGAAGTCATTTACTGATATACAATGTACACTGTAGAGTGTAGATCTGTCTATTGCCTACATATTTTACTAGTCTTGAGGAACAGTTGCATTTATCAAACCCCTAATTTGACCAACTAGAGTCTGAATAGAGTCAGACTACGCATGTTTCACACTACACAATTTACTAGTTGCATTTAACCCCTAATTTGACCAACTAGAGTCTGAATCTGAATAGAGTCAGACTAGGCATGTGTCACACATGACCACATTCGTGAGTACTACTGGGTCACATTATGTATGCGTGAGACCACGGCACCTACTATCTCCTGCACTTGTGTTTATTGAACGTTTAATATCTAGGCCAGAAAGGATGAAGAGCTCTTTTTTACAGATTCTGACATATTCAATTCTTTTAAATTGTTGTTCACGCTATGGTAATAAGGATGATGACTTCTTTTTTTTTTGTTGGGGGTGGGGGGGGGGGGGTGAAGATGAGACAATATTTAGAAAATTAGAACTGTATTATTGTTATGAAGTTGTTTATGGCAATAAGTTGAATAAGAAGATAAAAGGCAAGAGGCACTTGATGAATCATTCTCTACATGAAATTGTGGATAGTTAATATTATATTTGCCAAAGGATATACGGTAAGTCATGGTTTGTTAAAGAGGAAAAGTCACCTACAATGTACATATCACCACATTAAATATTGATTACCGGTAATGTAGTAATTAATTAATTAACTGAGAAACAAGTGATTTGTCTTTTTATTGCAAGAAGATGACATAGTGCAATTATTGGAAGCCAATTCATTTGATTGAAGGAAACAAAATTTTAGAATATACAACTGTACATGTACACATACTTTAAACCAGAAAATAAAAAGGCGAATAGTTGCGTATTTTAACGTGCCACTATTGAATTTTGTTTGAGAAAATTATCTTAGTTGTCATTAAATGGTTTTGTGAAGGAGTATCAAACTGGGATGAAAACGTCCTGAGCCTGAGGCTCATCTGCCTCGTATGACTGCACGTACGTAGACAAGATGTAAATGTCAAGTTTAAATTGCAGTGTATTAGCAGAGCGTGCATGCGTGCGTGAATGGAGGTTGTTCATTACGATACGTGATGTAGGTGCATTATACTGCGTTAATCATGCAAGAGACCGATGAAAAGACGGGCGGGCAGTGGTGGTCGAGTCTGGCTTTGGCCTGGCCTGCTCTTTGTACGGAATGGATTCTGCAGTCCTGAGAGTTATTAGATTTGCTTACGTATTCTCTGAGCTTGAGATTAGATTTTTGGTTATTAGGTTTGGAATGGAATCAATGAATCATGGTATTACAGTGACGTATGCTAGCTAGGAGAGATGGAATTTAACCCATGTACATGTACTTTTCTAATGTGCATTCCACATGTATGTTCTTCAATCTTCAGGTACATGACATTAATTATAGTATGATGTGGTTGACCAAAGCTCCCAGTTATTTTAAAGAATATTAGGAAATGTGATATTCGATCCATTATTTCTCATATTCTACACAAATTCATTCAGTTCAGTAATTACTAAATGGACTGCAAAGTTTTTTTACTACAACTTGGTGCAACTAGACAATATATCATCAAATAATTTCAGAGATATAGAGATCTCTAAATTCAATGTCGGATTGGAATGTGCTGCCTTTCAAGAAACAGTCACAAAAAGTGATCAATTAAATATACGATTATTGCACATTTTGCAAAGCAAAATATCATAAAATCAGTTGGTACCACTTTTTACTTGCCATGTTGATGACATGTGCTCTCAAAATTAAGATTTTCAGACCCTTGTCAGTAAGTTCATATTTTTTTGGAACGGACGCAAAAGGCTGCAAAATTTGCTGATCTTTTGTCAATTTTTTCATAATTTCACACTCTTGTCTCTTGGTAATTTTAGATTCCTCTTTCCATTCGTGGTATCAGATTTTTTGAAATTTTACTGATTGCTTGCGCGACTATGGTCACACCACCATACTTCCCTACCTTGTGCTCAGTCTATGAGAATGTCTTGTATAGCCACATACAGAATCGTATCTAGCTATTATACAATAACTTAGTAACTCAATAACGAACCAGGGTCCTACTCTAGTCTGAATGGTGCATCATACAAAAATTGTATAAATGGGCGGGGCTTATCGTGAACGATGCTGATGATTGGCCAGTTGTCATTCAGTTGACCTATTAAAAACTAGTTTATTTATATGACGTTTCCCTAATGATGTTGTTATCCAGTCTACTCTGTATGCTCCTTTCACTATCGGTATAAGATGATTCTTTATACTACGTTTTTATACGAGTTTCACATACATTTCCTTTACTCTAGACAAGCTATTAGATGTAGATGCCTTCTAGTAGTTCTGCTACACTGTACATCTAATGAGTAAAAGGAAAATTGTTTAACTTGTCGGATGTAATTCAAGATATTCAAAGAAAAGAGAATTATTTTTGGTAGAATTCAATTAATAACCAGTAGAATGTTATGATTTCAATTTTCCTCCCTCATTAAAAATCTTTCATTTGATTAAACCTTCACAAAATCAAATTAGACCTTTATTGTGATGCAAATACAGTGAAAAAAATACACGGGGGCTCGGGGCGAATTAGCCCCCGAAATGCCTAAAAGAGCCCCCGAAAATCAGAAAAGAGCCCCAGTAAATTTGCATAGAGTTCAATGCAAAACAAATTTTAGAATGTTATTTTCATGCAGGCAAGGTTGAAAAGTAGCCCCCGAAAAATAAATATTATTTTTTTCCCTGTGCAAATAGCCTCTACTACCCTCTAGTTATCCAGTTGGCTGAATTTCTCTTGAAGTGCTAGTTACAGAGAATTAGTCTTCACGCCTGAAGGCTGAATTCCCTAAGAAAATTCAATATTCTCCAATGGAGTTACTAATGAGCAATTATGGCTAATTCACACAAGACACAGGTAACCATAGCAATTTTTGTTCATGTATTGTAAATTGATGGCAAGTTGGGATGAAAAAGTGGTTACATGTATGTGCTACAAAGGTCCTTCACGTATTCATTCTTTATGCATCATAAGATACCGAAATGCGAAGTTTGTTTTGCTTTATATGACTGTTATATTGAGAAAAATATGCAGAAAACTTAAGGCAGTTTCAAACAGCCAATGGCACTGTTAGGTGTAAGAATGAATCTTGTAATGTTAAATGAGAAAGTTCAACTCACTTGATATAAATTGTTTTTATTTGTTGCGTGTTCTTTAGACTCTGAAGTGGAGCGGAGTGCACTGATGGAGAAGATCTACCCCGGGCTGAGGGAGTACTGCGCTAGCAAGGGTTACGAGTTTGATGTCGTCGATCTCCACTGGGGCATCTGGGATTCCAGGATACGAGACGAGAGATTCTTAGACCAGTGCTTCAATGAGATCAGGAACTGCCAAAACCTTTCAACCGGACCCAACTTCATTGTAAGTTATGATTCTTTTAAAGCACCTTAAAGCCCAACTGCAGTACTTGTAGCTACTTGCTCCCTCTATATAGCAAACAATGCCTAAGCGGTGCTGGTTGGTCCCCATGATCCTCTTTTTCTTATTCTAATTGAGAGCTGAGTTGATGAGATAACCACCTGTCAGTGACCACGCTGTGTGGTCTAATTTCTCCTGGCCAAACTAGTACAAGTGAGCTTTAAGATATATTTATACACTTAAAGACACATTGTAGTTTTATGTGCGCAGTGTGGCAATTCTCTTGTACTGGACGTGGTATCATTATGAATGAATGAGTTAAAAACTCTTGCACGCAGTGAAAGTTACTGGCGTACCTTGCAGTTACATGAGCTTGCCTTCAAGTTTTGAATTCATAATTGTATTGCCTTTTGAGCTATTGTTCTTATCCCGATTATCCTTTTTTTGATTGTTCCTATCTAGTCTTTCCTGAATCAGAAGTATGAGAGATGCACGGCCCCATTCCGGATCCTAGCATCGGCCTACGAACGTCTTTTGAAGAAGGTTGACGTAGAAGACGACAAGGCCGTTCTCTCCCGATGCTACCAGCTGGACTCTAATGCCACGCCCCCGGTCTATGTCTACCAGGATGCGGAGGGGGGCAGGGAGACCCAGGAGAAGGTGCACAAGATTCTGAGCAGCTGCTGGGGCAAGGAGGAGAAGGAGATGTACATGGCATCAAGTGAGTGAAATGGACAAAGTGATGATGCTGAGGTTGTTGATGATGATGATGATGACAATGACGCTGACGACGATGACGATGACGAGGACGACTATGATGATGATTATGATGATGATGATGATGACGACGACAACGATGTTGTCCATGATGATGATGATGATGATGATGATGGTGATGGTGATGATGTTGTTGATGATGATGACGACGGTGATGAAGACGATGAAGACGATGACGATAATGACAATGAGGATGCCGATGGGGATGATGATGATGATGATGATGACGACAACGATGTTGTCGATGATGCTTTTGATGATGATGATGATGATGATGGTGATGGTGATGATGTTGTTGATGATGATGATGACGGTGATGAAGACGATGACGATAATGACAATGAGGATGCCGATGGGGATGATGATAATGATGACGATGATGATAATGATGACATGATAAAGTGAAGGGTGAGAAAGATGTTAGAAGTGATATGGAGAAAGAGATTGACATGGTATTTTAGTGAGTAATGAATGTGATCCTGTAAACCCTGATTCTGACGATGATAGTGAAAATGAAGGTTTTGATGATTAGGAACATAACGAGGCTGATGAAGATGATTTTAATATCGATGATGGTGTTGTAATTGTTGATGACTATTTGGATGATGAGGAGGAGGAAGGAGAGGATGAGGATGACCCTTAAAGCCCCACTGCACTACTTATAGCTACTTGCGCCATCTATATAGCAAACGATGCCTGATCGGTGACCATTGGTCCCCATGGTCCCCTTTTTCTTATGTTAATTGAGAGCTGACTTAATGAGATAACCACCTGTCAGTGACCATGCAGGGAGGTCTCATTCCTCCTGGCCAAACTAGTGCGGGGGGCTTTAAAGGAGCAATTAAGATATTATAGCATCCATTGTTTATTGCAACGATAACAAATAATTTGTCCTTTACTTATTCAGTGCTGGAGATGGAGGTAGAGAAAGGAGTCTTCAGCCCTGAGAGTTCAAGCGATAGCATCATGTGGGCGCATCGAGTCTTCAAGGGCATGGATACCAATGACTCGTCAGCATCCAATTACCTTGATCTGGTGCAGACAGAGGACGGTAGAGAAATCGATAACGAGGTAAGAGATCCTCCCGACAGATTTCCTGTAGAATAAAGAAGAGGATTTTGCTGAAAGAAGTTGAAGATGGCCTGATGAAAACAAACAAATAATTCGCTTGCAGTGGAGTGCAAAGAATCTGTCGATTCTGACCTACTACATATTGAATTTTTTTATTATCTTGGTTCCAGCTCCTTTTTCGTCTGATTAAAGTTAAACAAATAGCTTTGAGGTTTAAATGACCTGAGTGGTAAACAACCGCAAATCTTTGAATATTATTGTGAAATTCATTTTTGAAGTAATTGAATCCAAATGCCAGGGTAATAGTATATCTATAAAGCGCTTAGAAACATTTGCATTAAGCCCTATATAAAAGAGGAATATAATTATTATTATTATTATTATTTCGAACAATCTCCTGTCTTGCCTCACCAGTCCTCGGAGCAGCTTGCCCAGCTGACCAAGCGTCTCCACACCAAGGTCAACGAGGGTAACTACATGCCCTTTGAGGTCAACTGGGGTCCCAAGGGGCTGGATCCTGATGGTGTCTCCACCCATTCTCAGTACCTGGAGAACTTCTGCTCCCAGGTCCACACCGTGGTCAAGGAGCTCATCGACCGGGCCATCGCTGAGAGGCAGGAGGAGGTCAAAGCCACACGTGAGTAGTCAAGTCTTTTGGAGAAGGAATTCCTTTACTACAGGTCCGAATTGAGGGTAGTTCAGTCAAACCTGCTTTAGTGACCACCTGTCTACAAGGACCACATTTTTTGTTTCCCTTGAAAATGGTTTCTCATTGAAACATGTACTAAAGGAGCCTGTCTACAAAGACCACCTGTCTACAAAGACCACTTTTTTAGTTTCCCTTGGGTGGTCGCTGTAGACAGGTTTGACTGTATAGCCTTGCATCATCCTAAGTGATGGGTTGATGGGTCCAAAGCGGCCTTGCAAGTTCAAAGTATGTATCGGTCAAAATTGAATGAAATATGGCCTTCATCTAAAGGGCATGTTTAGATCGAATGTAATAATTAAGCTTGACATCGAGGTATAAGCTCAAAGAACTTTTGTAGTTGAGATTTACTAAGCAGTACATGGCACTCCTTCTATAGCATCCATACAACAGATGTATCTCTGTTGTAGTGCATGCCTGACATGTCACCACAAGGTGGAGCTATTAACTTATAGACTTGTATTCAACTGAAGCTTGAGATAAATCATTACAAGGACCAATGCCACTTTGCATATCAAGAGTATGTTTCAACATTAATTATGCTTGTCTGTATCCCTGTATGGGAAATTTGCATTAGGTATATTTGTTGTCTGAATTTCTTTTTTGCTGTGGTAACAGCACCAAGGAATTTCACGCACTGGTGAGATCCATGCGTGAATCCTTGAGCAATTTTCTGTTAAATTTCTGTTAATACAAAATTGTGCAATTGTGTACTCTGCTGTCAATAGAAAACCCAAAATATTTACTTCATACTTGACTTTCTTTTGCAACTAATGCTTCTATCTGCAGTGGCATCAAATATATCTGCTGTAGATAATACCCAATTTCCTTCCTTGCAATTAGCCTTTTTTCTTTACTGGAGTATAACATTTCGATTGCTGCAAATCCTCAAATTTTGACAGGTGCTTTTATAAGAGTATGTCTCCTGGTGCTTCATGAGTGCCTGGTGTTAAATAACTCAGAGGGAGGTAAATGTAGCTAAATCAAGTCAAAATACAGAATGATACATGTTTGTTGAATTACTGTTCGAAAGTGTAAATAAAGCACAAGAAGCCTAGTGAAAATGAATGTCAAATGGGGGAAAAAAATGGGAAAAAAATAAGAAATGATCAAGTCTCTTTTGATATAAAATTGCTTGCCAAGAAACAGCATATACTGTATCAATTATGTTTTTCAAAAATCATATTACAGTACAGTCCTCCATATTGTTAGCTTTTAAAAGCTGGTAATTCTGGTGGTAATTCTGGTGGTAATTTATACATACTTCAAGATGTACACAACATGCGAAGAAGCAGAATTCAAATATGTTAGTCAACTCTTTACCCTAAACCTACGATAAAACTGTTAGATTGGCCGATACCTGTAAGCATGCATTGCTTTATACTCCCTTGATAAAGTAATTGTACTGCCCAACTAATACGTTACATCGCTCTTTGCTTCTCAGGAATTCATCGTCGTCTGCACGCAGAGCTCCAGCAGCACACCGTCCTCTGCCAGAAGCACGTGGAAACATTCCAGGGATGTAGCGCCCTCACGAGCCAGATCAGCAGCTACCTGAGCAGCGAGGACAACGTCCCTCTGGTCCTGCACGGCTGCACGGGCTGCGGCAAGTCTGCCCTCGCGGCCATGACGGCCAAGATGGCCGAGCAGGTCCTGCCCAACAGCGCCTGCGTGCTCAGGTTCGTAGGGTCGTCTCCGGAGTCGTCCACCCCCAACCAGGTCTTCAGGAGCGTGTGTGAACAGATCGCATACCTGTACGGAGAGCATATATCCATCGGAGCAAGGGTAAGCAACAGGACATTCAAGTAAGACTGTTTGGGTGTAATGTAAATAATGATAATAATATTCCGCTTTTATATAGCGCCCAATACATGGATACAACGATGTACCTAAGTGGTCAAGTGTATTTGTCCATGGAGAATATACATGTACATATGCTGTTACACTTTAGTATCACTCACCTTTCTCCCTCTCTCTCATTTGTCTTGAAAGTAAATCCTGCAGATCTAATTGTGCAGTCTGATTTATAAATAGATCGGTAGAGCATACTTTTAAACTAGATGTTAACATGTTATTCACAATTCTATGAGGTGCATGCTGTACAACATATTTACTTTTATTTTCTACTATTTTTATTACTCATAAGTGAAAAATCACTTGATGTGACCACTGACAATATTATTTTTTCAATATGACATGCAGACACAGAGATACCAAATTCCATAATAAACTTAATGGTGCATGAGCTTGTCCTAGGACGTGTCTACCAAATAGATGGAAGTGTCGTAGTCGAGTGGTTTAAGCACTTGACTTGAAATTCAAAGGCCGTGGTTCGATCCCCCACACAGCAGTAATGTCCTTTGGCAAGGCATTAATCTATATTTGCCACTCACGACCCAGGTGAGGTAAATGGGTACCTAGCAGGAATTAATTCCTTGAAATGCTGGAGCGCTCTAATGGCAGCTAGGGGTAATAATAAATATGCCTGGGAATAGAATTTCTACATAGACGGCACTATAGAAATGCCTATTATTATTATTATTATTTCGTGATGATTCATATTATAAGGGCATTGGTCATGAATAATCTTGTTAAATCTTGCATGCTTGCTTCCTCAGGGTCTCAAGAGGCTTCATAAAGACCTTGCCCAGCTGCTGAAGAAGGTGACCGCACAGCGCCCTCTAGTGGTGGTGATTGACGGCTTGGATCAGTTCAGTGACAACGAAGCAGAAGCTCTCAGTGCTATCCCCAAGACCCTGGCACCGTCGGTCAAGATGGTGCTGACCACCAGGGGCAAGGACTCTGAAGGCTTCACCAAACTTCAGGTTTGTAATGATGATTTCACCCTCTTTGTATTGATGCTGAGAGACAGAAGGACATTAAAGACAAATAGTAGGAGGCTCTCATGGGGAATTAAACACAGTTCCGGTGTTTACCAAATAACAGGTGTTATCAATCACGAGGACCAGCCTTCAGTTTTATGACCAACAGGCCTTATTTAATGCTTTGCATTTTCCTCTCATTCCCCCATTTGGTAAAGTCATTATCTTACGTTCCCCTCACCTGAAGACTCTCCAAGAGACTAGGGGAATTTCTTGATAGAACTATGGGTATGCTGTGTGCAGACTTGTACACCCGTCAATGGTATTTATTCCTTGAAACGCAGCGTGCGTAACAACTGCACTGCTAAAGCCAGGGTAATTATGCTGCATTATTGTAGAGCGCTTAGAGACTTCTGATAAAGTAAGTGTTAGGCGCTATATAAGCACTATAATTATAATTATTTCCACCAAGTCTGGTGTCAGCGAATTATACAGATATTTTACACAGTCTTAACACCCTTCTGCTTCTCAGCACAGGGTTCAAATGTGTAATATCATCATCATTCTCTCTTTGTACTTGTACAATGTTGAAGAGGCACGATGGCTCAGTGGTAGAGCAGTGGTCTCGTAAATGGGAGGTCCCAGTTTCGCAACCAAGTCAATGCGCTTGTGCCCTTTGGTAATGCATTAGTCCTCATTACCAAGTCCCTCTTAAAGGAGTGAAACCCATGCTTTCTTAGCAGTCAGGTTTTAAAAAAAAACACAGATAAACAAACAATGTTTGTATTTTTAAAATGATTTCCTTGTGCTACTGCTCTGTCTGAAGATGATGCTTATCGTTGAAATACATTTGTTCCAGATATTGTTTATATTGAAGTAGACTTCGGGAGCAGGAAGTTTTGGATGGAAAATTTCTGTGAATTAAAGGCTGTTAGTCTTGTTGTGACATCTTTCATAACTGCTTTTTTACTGACTGTTACAATATGTTTTGCATTATAGTTTATTCTTATGTTTGGATTTTGCAGAATCATCTGAAGGATAGTGCCCAATTCATTGAGATACCTCCACTAGCCAACGATGAAGCTGCCAAACTAAGCGAATCACTTCTCAAGAGTCATCGAAGAACACTGTCAGATGATCAGTACAGCATGTTACAGGATGCCATAGCTGCCTGCCCGCACCCCCTCTACATCAGGCTAGCATGCCAAGCAGCTTGTACATGGCACAGCTACGACCCACCGTCGGCTACAAAGCTGGGTGAGGATGTGTTGTCGCAATTTGGAATGCATCTTGAAACAATGGAGAAGCGTTATGGCAAGATGGCCGTCGCCCGGTCCCTCGGCTACATGACGATAGCCAGGGACGGCCTCTCCGATGCGGAGATGAACGATATACTGTCGTGTGATGAGGCTGTGTTGAATGAACTATATGCACAGAGGACACAAGTGTTGAGACGGGTGCCAAGTTTATTATGGGTAGCGCTCTGTCAAGAGCTGGGTCCGTCTTTACAGGAGTGTGACGTTAACGGACGGTACTTAAGAAGTTGGGGTCACTCTTGTTTTAGGGAAGTGGTAACCAAGCAATATTTATCCAATGATAAAGATCGAGTGCAGCTTCATATGACCATCCAAGACTACTTCCAGGATAAATGGGCAAAGGGCAAGAAGAAGCCTTACGTGGGTGAGGGTGGAATTGAAATGGTCATGGACAGGCTTGTGTTGACCCAGCCCAACGAGTTTGGCAAACTGGACAATCTACGGAAGTTCAGAGAAGTCAGCTACCATGTATTCCACACTGGAGACAAGAAATTTGTGGACAAGTATGTATGGGACATTGACTGGCTGGTGAAAAAACTAACCTGTTGTGATGTGTACGATGTACTAGAGGATGTGCGGTTGGCACAGACGAGAGATCCATCAAGTCAGGACCTACAACTGATGGAAGAGTTCCTGCAGCTGTCTGCATATGCGTTGTCATGCTCAGGTTCGCAGCTTTTCACTCAGCTCATGCAGAGACTGGACAAATCCATTGAAAAGAATAAGAGTAAGCATCCCCACATGAGTAAGCTGCTCCAAGTTGCCAACAACCCCTCTCACATTAGTTTCTTTCCCTCCACGTCGTGTCTCCTCAAGGTCAGTGATGCCAAGGATGACGCCCTGGATGAAGAAGACAGCGAGAAGTCCAAGGAACCCTCGCTGACCCAGCTCTTCAAGGTCAAGTCCCAACCATGGTATATGGTGTCCGTGTCCCCAGAAGAAGGGGAGGTGATCGTATGGGATGTGGTCACCCAGAAACCTGTCAGAACGTTGAAGGGTCTTGACAGGCCCCGCGATATCTGCTTCATCGAAGCTCACCGCATCGTTGTCTTGTGCAATCGAGAGCTCAAGATATATAACCTTGACACAGGAAACTTTGAGACCAAGCTCTTGGGCATCATGAATCAGAAGATGCCTTTCTTCGCTCTGCATGACAAGGACCACGTGGTGGCGCTCTCCCGAAACCGCATGTATGTCAATATCATCAACGTCGCGACCGGATCTATCAGTATCACCTTCAAGGCTGGTGAGGATAGGTTCCTGAACAGCCTGTTGGTCAGTGCCAACGGTCAGAGGTGCGTCTGTGGAGATGAGACCCAGAAGCCTAGTCCTCTGTTGGTTTGGGATCTCAATGCCAGGAAACTCATCCATGACTTCAGGATCCAGCAGCATGAGTTTGTGACCCGAATGGCAGCCATCTCTAATGATGGTCACTATGTCGTCTCCGTCATCAAGGTAAGCAAACCGGTGAAAAACTGCTGAATGGCAGGAATTTATTCCTTGAAATGCTGGAGCGCTGCAATGGCAGCTAGGCTAAAGCCGGGGTAATAGTAAATGCGCCTCAGAATAGAATTTCTAGATGGACGGCGCTATAGAAATACCTATTATTATTAATGTATGGTATTTACCTACAAGTACCTCCTTCTCCAGAAAATTATCATCCCCAGAACAGTTGACCTGACATTTGCTCAGGGCTTTATTTCGTCAAAGATATAAGTGAAGGTTAGGGTAGCAACTGGATTTGGGTTAGATTTTAAGTTAGCTCTAGGGATAGTGTTTGGTTTGGGGTCAAAGTTATGAATTATTGCACAAAATTGATAAAAGAGCAATTGTCATAGAAGCTTGTGTCCATAGAACCCCTAGAAAACCATGATGCCACTAATACTTGAATACATTAATATCACTGGCAGTCCAAGGTATTTTACCTGTATTTTAAACGCACGCAATATAATTCTGCTGTATTGTCATTATGTTACTGATTTATTTACTATGTTTTGTAATACTATTTTACATGTACATATATATTCATTTCTGTACTTTTGTAAATTGACCCTTTCAGCCTTGTGCTGCTGGTCGATCATTATATACGAATAACTTTAAAAAAAAAAAAATAATAATATTCTAAGTTTAGTAGGCCTAATGAATCTTATCGGTTGACAGCCCTACTTAAAATTTAATCAGACCAAATAGCAAGGGAATGACAATTACAGCAAATAATCACTACCTTGGTCTTCATTTACACCTCAAATTTTCCTTCACACATGCAGGAGTTGGAAGACCCAACACGTAACTTTGTCATCGTGTATGACCTCCAGAGCGGTCAGCTCTTTAAGAAATGGAAACCACCGGTCAACACGACCTGTGTGGCCATCTCTTCTGAGGGAATGTGTGTGGTCAACGGATGTGAGGACTCTACCATTCTGGTCTGGGACCTGGCTTCAGGGTCAATGAAGTAAGTCCATTTTCTTGAGGGGGGTTGGGGGGGGGGGGGGGTGGTTGTTGTGTTGGTTATCAACAAGCTTTACATGAAAATTACAAACTGGGATGATATGGATACAGAAAGAAACTAAGAGTAGATAAAGTCAGAAACTGCTCTTCTGATTTAACTTTTTTTACAGTTATTTTCTTTTCTTTGTAGATTTTTATTAATTGCATCTTTCCCCTTCAAATCATGAATCCACCCTGGAGCTGAGTTACACATAAATTATTAAAGCCACACTGTACTACTTGTAGCTACTTGCTCCCTCTATATAGAAAACTTCCCCAATCGGTGACCATTGGTCCCCCATGATCCTCTTTTTCTTATGTTAATTGAGAGCTAAGTTGATGAGATTACCACCTGTCCAGTGACCTTGCATGATGATCTAATCCCTCCTATAAACTAGTACAAATGTTCTTTAATAGAGAAATTGAATAGCGGAGGGGTAACAATTAAAACAACATTACTTGTTTAGTCGAAAGATGTCTATAGAGGACAGAAAATCAGTTTTGTAGAAGCCTTACATCTACAGTACTCGTCATCCATTTTGAGAAGTTTCTTCCAATGACTAAGATGTTTGTTCTTTCTTTTACTCTCAAGGTACTCTTTGGAGGGACACACCCATCCGGTAGATAGGCTTTACCTCTCAGACAATGGAACAGTCTGCCTCACATATGATTCCACACATCAGGACCGTACCATCAGAGCCTGGGATCTCCAAAAAGGTAATGGTGCTGTCCCAGACAGAAATGCTATAACAATAGTTGGCAAGAGCCTTTTTGTGGAGAGTCATGAACACACTGAAATCAAACAATTTCTTTCTACAGATTCATTCAAAAGAAGATACATTCAAATGTATTCCCCTTCGCAATCACGTGTAACATCTATTGTATTCCTATAAACAGTGTTTCCTTTGTAGTATTCTTTGGCATTTAAAGGATTTACCGCATTTGTTTAGAAGCATTAATGGTGCATAACAAAGCCCCTTGATGGCTGTTCTTATTTGTCTGTAGCTGTGTGGAGTCACAATTATAATTCCAGTCAAAATCACTAGATACATAAGTTAGAAGCATGGGTAAAATTGAAAGCAAAGAAATGTTAAGAGACATGATGGCTCGGTGGTTGGAGCATAGATCTTATAACCAGGAAGTCCTTGATTCAACACCAAGTTAATGTTATGATATCCTCTTGGAAGACATTGATCCTCATTTACCAAGTGCTTCGAGTAGGACTTTTTGAGTAGGACTTGAATCACGAACCATGTGATCCACAGTCTGGTCACGTATTCACTAGACTACGACACCTGTACATTAAAGTTCTACAGTCAAACCTGCTTTAGTGACCACCTGTCTACAACAAGCACATTTTTTGTTTCCCTTGAAAATGGTTTCTCATTGAAACATGTACTAAAGAAACCTGTCTTCAAAGACCACCTTTAGTGTTTCCTTTGGGCGGTCGCTGTAGACAGGTTTGACTGTATATATCCTTAAAATCTTTATCTTAGAGCAGCATTTCAAAATGTGTCTTCTCTATTTACTTTCTGCAGGCATGTGTCTGGCTGCCTTCACACCGGACAAGCCAATCAGCTGCTGCCAGATATCTGCAGATGGTACGTGCGCCGTGATTGGCCTGCAGGGAGAGAGGGAGATCGTGTCTCTGTGGATACGCTCAAAAGGCTCGGCTCCGATACCCAAGGATGCAGGAGCCTTTGGCGACCCCGCCCGCAAGGGGGAGGAATTTGATGTCAATGTCCCGCAGAGTTAATGAGACTAGAAACCTATAGGTCGTAGATATTGATCGAAGTATGCAGCGTTAGGAACTTGAAGCTGGAAGAAGACGGGACAGTTAGAACATTGATGAAAACATCTTGTCTCCAATTTCACTATGGGAATGGTATTCCTTTTTTGAAATTTCTTCACTGCAATTTCATTATCAAAATTTCGTTATTGGAATTTCATGATTGAAATATCATAATTTGAAATTTATTGATTTTGGGGATACAAATTTCATTATTTGAATTTCATTATTTAAAATTCATCATTGAAATTCATTATTTGAATTTCATCATTGAATTTCAGAATTTGAAATTCATTATTTGAATTTCATCATTGAATTTCATTATTGGACTTTCATTATTTGAATTTCATTATTGGACTTTCATTATTTGAATTTCAAATTGGAGTTTCATTATTGGAATGATATTTTGCGACGTCAATAATCTCAAAAACATCAGCTTTTGTCATTGACGGACTACTGTTGCCACCCAGCATTTAATGCATTTTTAGGTGAAAGGAATGTTGTGTAGAGAATGAAGTGAGTGAATCAGGGGTTTTGGCACTCTTTAGGTGAGGCATAACTAGAACAGTAGATATGTGAACCTTTAACAAGAAAGAGAGAGACGTGAAGAAAAAGAAGCCACAGCTGTGTGAACATGTAAAGTGGACATTCAAATAATGTTTATGTTTATGTAAGAATTTTGCAACGAAACTGCCAAATGTATAAGATCTTAATCATAGGACAATAATCATGGATGGTTAAATACTAAGGATTATAAAAGCAAACAATTAAGTTTTATCTCTTTTGCAAAGAAATAAATCTGAATTTTGATATATTTATCATATAAAGCCGATCATGACAGGTTGTAATTGATAATCATGGGTTTAAGAAGCCTGGTAACTGTGTCCGGCAATTACTGAGACATACATGGAAATGTGTATTACATTAATGTCCTCATGGTTGTTATCATAGCGATATGTTACGATCATTTGTGAAAAATAAAATCATTGTGAAGATATAGTTAAACATAGATTATGTCTTATTCCATCCAAGAAATTAACTTGTTTAGATGGTCAGTCTTCATTTATAAGGACAGTTTGTAAGCCTTCAAAGGCATATATCTTGGTCATCATTATTCTTTTCATCAACATCATTACATTATTTTATAACAGTTACAGATCTTACTGGTCTGATTGTTGCAAATGAAGAAAAGGGGGCTTGAATTAAATTGGTGATACAGGCAAACCTGCTTTAGTGACCCCCTGTCTATAAAGACCACTTTTTGTGTTTTTCCCTTGGGCGGTCACTATAGACAGGTTTGACTGTATATCATATGAAAGGAGGTTGAAGCAAAGACTGCTACATATTGTACGTTTGGTAAGCGGATGTTAACATCAGAAGCTTCATTAAAAAGAGCTCCTTTTTTATATATATCCAGAAACTTTTGAGTAAAGTTGGTTTATGCCATCAATTGAATTCATACCTAGGTGAGATGTGTATTGGAACAAGATGACGATAAGAAAACAAAAACAGGAAGATGAATCTAAGACACACATGGAAACTGAACTTGCAGGGTATTAAATAAAGTCATGGATTCTCTCTGATTGTACATATTTCTGTGTGGTAGTCTTGACAATGACTTTGTTGTCAATGACCTTGACAACGACCTCGTCATGACCTTGTCAAGTATGTTGTTATTACTTGCATTGTTTAAATGACGTATGTTACATGTGTGTGCGTGTCGCGGCTTTCTGCCAGTGCTCAACCCCCATTCTCTTGTTGACCTGTATACTTTGCACAAATAATTATTAGAGGGTGGACAGAGGGAGGGAGAGAGAGAGAGAGATATATAACAAATAATAATAACCTTAATATCTTAACATAATGTCAACACAGTGTGATATCATCTTGAGTAGACTTCAAGAGTTTTAAGGCAGCTTTGTCTACAAAAAAGGTCACATTTATTCTTTGATACTTTTGGTAAATAGGACCTAAAATTGTGCTGGATAAAATGTAGAACAAGCTCAAAGCGTTTTTTGTAATAGGTTTTGGTATGTGGAGGTTCTCAGTCAGTTGCGTTGCTATAAGTAGTATTTAGAATAGTTCCATAAACAAATGGGCATTATACGCAGTCTCACCATGCGATTGTAACCGCTAAATTTGTGGCATTTTAAAGCTATCGCAAAACCTCCCTATACAGTGCGGTTGCATCAACTGCTTTATTGTGTATCTTGAACTCTAAACTTTAGAATATTTTGCAAATATATCTACATGTAAGGTTACATTTTCCATTTTTTGAGAAGATCGTTCTTACCTCTCATTCCCTTGTTGTCCCGGAAAAAGTTTACAAAGGATTGGGCCTCGTTTAAAAAAACTTGTCGTCAAAACTTGCCGTTCTTGAACAAATGAGCCCCCAGTCAATCAAATTCAGTGATTTCATTAGCTTATATAAGTCGATGATTATAGTGACTTGTTATTGATACCAAGTTTCATAAAACTGGACCCTGGTCCGTCTCACTGCCTCAGATATGATCTTCGTCTACTTGAAAGTTTTAATATTATCACTAAATTGCTGCATTATCATGAACTCAGGTGGCAGAAAGTGCATCATGTGAAATCAACCATAAATACATTTACAAAAGAAGAAGAATTGTCGATTCCAAGCTGTACCCACTCTCTTATATGTGCTCTGGACCCTGTCATTATTGAGAGTACGTGTTTATCAAGCCTTCTAGGGGAAAATATAAGCTTCGATGATTACTCTGCTTTTGGTTTAGTGGTTCATTCACTGGACTCTCAATCCAAGGGCCCAGGGTTCAAATCCCAACCTAGGACTAAGGTCTGTTGTCAAGACATCAATCCACCTGTACATGGGTAAAAATATGTTGTTGGATTTAGATACCACGCATTTATTTCCTCAATCAAGTCTGCAAAGCAGCTTTAATACTATACTGGGAGGATATTTCAACATAACTGTACCGATTTTCTTTGAAGTTTTTCCTGTTGTTAAAAAATAGAGCTGAACAAAATGTAGGGATTAAAGTTTGTTGATAATAGGGGTGTTGGCGTGTTGCCCATTTTTGTTGTTCTTCAAATATTTGTGTTAACTCTATCGATAGTATTTATGAAACTCCTTTGTATAGGAAGATACGGGAGAGCGTCGCATCCATACATTAATCAGACCAGGAGGAAGAAATGCCTTTTTGCCCTGGTTAACTTAGTTTTTAATTGTATCATTTTGTCATCTAGAACCTCAAACCCGTGTGTGCTTATATTTGATGTTAAAGTTGTTCAGTGTGCCCTCCAACTACCGGTATTACTAACAGTTATTTTAAGCCTCCCTCTCTCTCTCTCCTCTCCCTCTCTCTCTCTCTCTTTCTCTCTTCGACTCTCTCCTTTCTTTCCCCCTCTCTCTCTTTCTTTCCTTCTTTCTCTCTCCTTCCCCCTCTCTCTCTTCCTTTATCATCACTCTATCCTTTTCTATTTCCATACTTGCTTGTTTTCTATGGCAGTATAAGACGAAATTAAATATTGTGTGCATGTGAGTGCATTTATATGATATGGAAATCATAGTTATTGTGAAAGTGATACTTGGTAACTTTCCAAATGATGTGTATACTTCAGGTCTTGTAATACATGTGCTCAACTTATTCATTACGATCACCGTCGTCAAACGAAGAGTTGCCAATAAGAGAATAAGCTTGGCGGAGACGAAAAACAAAATCGATGATGGTTTATTTATATTGTTACGACTGTAAATATCTGCAAATATTTGAAGAACATTCTGTTAGGATGTGATGGAGAGATGCCGAGAGCTGCGGTCCTCACCAGTTATCTTTTGAAATTCATGGGAATCGGGGGGAGGATTATTGTGTGTTTGTTGAAATGTAGATATTTAGGTTCTCCTCTTGATGTTATAATGTACAGGCTGACTACGATGAAGTGTGACTTCCCTTGTCGATCCTAACATGTAGAAAGAAACGACAGGGAGTCTGTGTGGAGATAGAGGGCGCTGTTCTCTCCCTCATATTTCTTTTCTATTTTGCTGTGTTTAATATGCAATAGATGTCGATTGTCGAGATTGAATATCAAGCTTCTGTTGAACCCGTGAAGTCAAGTATCGTTGCGCTCTCTCGGCGGGCGCAAAGCGAACGACCGTGTGACGTGTAGAGTAGTAGGCCTGCGTATGGACAACATTTAAGCTGATTTTGATATATTATGAATAAACTTCAGACAGGTACGAAGGTCACCTATATGAAGCCGTGTGGATGTTTTACTCTTTTGGATGTTATCATTATAGGTGATCAGAGATTTGAGTACTAGATAATCTGACATGATAGACTGTGTGATGTAGTGATTTGAAAACAGCTTCATACAGCGAAAAAACTTTTTTCTTTTAAATTTACTTATATCGTCATGACTACCAAGGAATGTGCTTATAATAATGTATAATATTGTGACTTTTTATTTTTTCCTTCAAAGGGGAATATCATAAATTATACTTGTAGGTATACTGGAGTAATTTGGTGTATGAAGTCTGTGAAAATCAACCTATATGTTTCTAGCAATGTATGTATGGAGCTGTCCAGTAGTATATGTGCTAAATGATCATATAGGCTTACCGCCCGTCTCAGTTGCTGGGAGGGGGGGGGGGGGGGGGGGGGGGGGGGGGGGGGGGGGGGGGGATAAGGAATTTATACCGCCCCAAAAAGTGGTCATCAGTGCTAATGGTATCAAAAATTCTATAGATAAGGGAATATGCGTTGGAATATACGATATGGATCTTTCTCAATTTCTATGGTGGATTATATTCCAAAAATAGTTATTTTTTGGGGTTTCAAACCGTTGGTGTTGATTCCAAGTATACTTTCATAAAGCTTGGAATCCTATGCCCTATGCACTGAATATAATGCATGTTTGGGGTAAATTTGTGTTTGGTCTCTAGCAAAGTATAAAACTTGTTTGAATATGCAAAAGTTAATTGACATTACTGAAATAAGCAGGAATATTAAAGACAAAAATATGTATTCAAACTCGTATTATGGGCTAGACTACAGTCCTGTGTTTTTGAATTCTTGTCGGCAATGAATGTGCTTGCAGGGAGTGTATACAAGGTATAGACATCAAAATCACTCTCTTAGCTATGCTGTGGTATCATATGGAGTGGAATTTGTAGAATCTCTCATTTAGGACAGATTTTCTCACGCTACATTGAAAAGCAGATTGTATGATGGATGTGAAATCACTGATTCAGTACTTACAAAGAGTATGTGACCCATCAGCTCATCCATGCTTAGCACAAGATAATTAGTCCTTGTGTGTTGAATAGCATTCATATAGTGTCTCCAAGAAAAAATAACAACTGTGAAAATGTGATGAACATCACCACCGCAGTGTTCCCTGAAACATTCCGTTCGTTGAATTGATCATGGACAGAAAAATAATAACTTTTTACTGCAAATACTGTCATTGGAGTAATGTAGCAGATTGGAAGAAAAAAAATGATATGTGTATATGTGTTTTTACTCAACCCTCCTCTGTCCGACTTCTTATGCGGTATTGATTACTTGTATAAATGTGAACGAATTTGACATTTTAATGAGTAAGTAATCAAGGATTCTGATCGATGAGAGGAAGAATGATGGTAGATGATAAAATTAATGAGAATAAAATGGATCCGAGATGTCGGCCTCCTCTATCGCATGTTCATGACTCGGTGGCATTCTTTTACAAGTTGGTGTTAGATCATTAAGGTCAGAGTTGATGAGACTGAGGGAAGAAGAGAGTTAAAATAAAGTTGAATTCTTGGCATTGGTTTCTTAAAGGACGTACAAATTGTGGTCACAAATCTACAGAATTTATACTTGTAGGTGGACACTCCCCAGGTCATGCAATTGCATTGTGATAGAAACTGCCAGGGAGAGTTTGGAATAGGTCGATTTTGTAGCACATGGGACTAGGAGTACAATGTGAGTTTTCTGGATTCATCAACATTGAATTGAATTGAATTTATATCCAAATTTGCATTAAGAATACAGAAACACAGTCATATACATGAGTAAAAGTTTAAAAAGTAAAAAAACCATCAAAGTAAAAGGACAAATTTACACGACTTGAAAACATGAAAAGATATATTGACCCATGCAGTCTTGCTGAAAATCACATGCATATATCACAGAAACCATGTATATCGGACTACACATACAAATATGGCATGGATGTTTGGTCCAAACTATGTCAGCTTTTTCTTCGTCATAGTCATAGCTATTTTGAACATGAGGGCATTTGAATATTCATTCTTCTAAGGGGCCATTTCTTTTAGTGTTCTTCCATACTAACAAAGATAATAGAATAAAAAAGCTCACAAATTAATTTTTTATCTTTCCCAGAAAAAATTTGATGGCAAAATTCCACTTACCGGTAAAATTGTATCATAATCACTTCTGCAAAGATTCCCCCCCCCAAAAAAAAAAAAAAAAATTCAAAAAAATAAAAATGTGTTTGGGGAAGACAAATATTGATAAAAGAGACATAATTTGGGCTTTTTTGTTATTATTTAACATAAACTGATTTTGGTGACTCCAGAACCTTGCAGTACACACCAATACTTACATGCTACATGATCAACTTTTTCTGATCCATTCCACACCTTTTCTTTTACAATGCAATCGCATGACCAGAACTCAACTTTATCTTTAATATTTATTATTATAAGATTTTGTGGTCTAAAATATCAAAACATTACCCCCCCCCCCCCCCCCCTCTCCACAAAAATAAGTTGCAGTGAGAGGGAGGGAGAGATAACAGCGACGATATATATATATATAGAGAGAGAGAGAGAGAGAGAGAGAGAGAGAGAGAGAGAGAGGGAGAGAGAGAGATAGGGGAGGGAGGGGGAGGGAGAGAGAGAGACAGAGAGAGAGAGAGAGAGAGGGAGAATATAGGGGGGGGGGGGCGGGAGGCTATACAGGGGAAGATGACGGAGAGTTTCACAGATTTAAGGAGGACGAGAAGAGTAAGGAATAAGGGGATGGGGAAATTAGAGAGAGAATAGGGAGACTCAGAGAGACGAGCGGGGCGCCTATTATTGGCACAGAAATATACAGACAAAATGAAACTCGTGGGGCGCCCCTTTCTAAAAAAAACCAGATGCAAAACGAGCAAGACCATTGTGTGAGCGAAACATTAATTCATTTTATTTTATTAGTTTTTTATTGGCTAATTGTCAAGATTTTTTGTACCCTGCCCCTATAATCATAGAGAATCAGGATCTGCCACTGTCTTCTCTCCATTTAATTCAAAGAGCGATTGTTTGATCAAAGTTAACGCCGCGTGATGATGTAGTCATGCAAAATGATGTCGACAGGATAAAAATAGCTACAGCTGTAATATTACGACTGTTAGATTTGTAGGCTGCTACGAACCGCTCAAATACCAAAATACAGTGTTCAAAACACTGATGATGAAGTTTTAATTATCATAATTTGTTACCATATTATTCTAAAATAAATAAGGTATTACTAGGGTTTAGGGCATGTTATTTTGGCCAATAAATATACAAAATCAACTGATATTACTTACAAAATTACATTGTATTTGTTTATGACTCAGTCTCTTGCGATCGCGAAACTGCGCCTGCGCGATGCACTATTGATATTTTTAATGAATGTTTGTGAGCAAACGACTTGATCTGCATTGTATTTGTAAAAGGTAACAAATCCTCAATTTCAGCTGACGAGAACATATAGTAATCGGACACCTCATTTTTGGTAAGTTTTCTGACATTTAAGTTGCTTTTCTGTGTTTTAATCCCAACTTTTACCTTTCTTTACGGAAGATGCACTTTCCATGAATCGGACGTCGGACGAGAAACCAGCTCCACCTACTCACATTTGTGTACCGGTACTAGGAGGTAGACATTGATACCTGATATCCTACAGGAAATACTTGTATATTACTCCTATTACTAAAGTGATATTGAAATTGAAAAATGAAATGTGCCCCAAATCTCATAGTTTAAGCAAGAACAATATGAATGACATGCTTCAGATAAGTCACGCTCAAGACGTGTTTGCAAACTCATTTAATTTTACATTTTTGTGATTTTTTTTTCTTTGGAATTTGTCAGAGGAGAGCTCGAGATGACATTTTAGTCCTTCATGGGACACATTTTTCCCCTTCTTTTTTCCCAATCAGAATCTCAATGCAATGATAATGATGTGATAGCTGTTTAGATTCTGACATTGATATTTTATCTTGTTTTCTCCAATCAAAGGAGTTTATTATTATGGATTTTACTCACCCAGTATTGTTATTCCATAAAATACACATGTATTGCACGGCAAGTTTCTTTCATTCTTTTTCGTACACAATTGAAATACATTTTTTTTCAAATTTGTATCTAGATCTATTCATTGACTGTTAAAGTCATTTTGTGAATTGTATTTGTAGTATGTTTTCTTTTACAAAAGATCTAGTTTAAGAATGATTTCTGTATACTTGAATGGATGTTCAAACCTAATTTGTAACGTTATCATTTTTCATTTTGCTCTAGGTTAATTTGACACATCGACGCCGGCTCAATCATGTTTAGTGGTGGCTATACAGCTCAAAAGTTAAAGACCAATCTAAAGCTTACTATCAACAGATTGAAGCTTTTGGAGAAAAAGAAAAGTAAGTTCAACAGTACTCATTCAATCATCAAGATCATTGCTTTTTTAGCTGGACATTTAAACAGAATCATTTCCAGAAACAATGTAGGTTATACGCAAACGGCAAGGAGAGGAAAAAGAGTTATTGATGCAAGAAAATAGATCAGAATATTATTTTAAGACACGGTTATTGTACCTCCTTTAAATTTATTGTATCTCCTTTAATCAATTTAACTTTACAATAAATGGTAACATGCATTTAATTTTGTTACAGTTCAGTGATCACTTTTAGTTTTAAATTTATACATGTATTTTGTGGATGTATTGTTGTTAACCTAATAGTATAATCTTTGACATTTTGGAATAATTTTTCTGATTATTGCTTTTTTTTTCTCTTTCAGCCGAACAGGCTCAGAAGGCAAGGAGAGAAGTAGCAGATTACCTTTCCAATGGGAAAGATGATAGAGCAAGAATAAGGGTAAAATAATTTTTGTTTTTTACTTGACCTCTACCAGCTGCCATAACTTCAGTTCATATTTATCTTTGAAATTTGAATAATACCAAAATAAAACGCTGATATTTGATTAGTATACAAATTGTGAAGACAACTATGAAATATTTTCTACCTGATATTATACAAGCATTATGAGCAACAAATTAAGAGTTGAGAAATTATTATTAGTTCTCGAGAAATTCTTTCGTACATCACTTGAAAAAAAAAAAAAGGAGGAAAAATTAGGGGGAAATCATTTGAAATTCCATCAAAGTTACAAAGTTATAACTATCGGATTGTACTCGTACTTTATAAAATTAGTATGAACATTTTCTGTACTTTTCGGAAAGGTGTGTTGGAGGGGGGGGGGGGGTATGAGGATGGTGTTTACTATTAGAATTCTTACCATTTATTTAATTTTATACTGTAAATATGTGCATATATACATTGCACAATATAAGAAAATATAAGATTTATACATGTATTCAATTATATGGAAGGACACAACTCTAATCACCAGAATTCTCTTTGAACCGGTTACAAAGCATATTTTACAATTTGTATGTCTTTTCTCTTCCCAATTTAAAGGTACCTTGCTTAAATTGCTAATAGCTTTTACATAGTACAGTATATATGGCAATGAAAGTTAATTATTGAAAAAAAACACAGTTGATAATTGTTTAATCCAGGTAAAAATCTGTCTTGTTTAATGGATTAATTTAATTTTATGCCATCCACCTCACTGTGTGTCTTTTTTAAATATTTTTTAGGTGGAGCATATTATCAGGGAAGACTATCTGGTAGAGGCTATGGAGCTTGTTGAACTCTACTGCGATCTCCTCTTGGCTAGGTTTGGCCTCATCAAAACCATGAAGACGGTCGACGAGGGACTCCAAGAATCCATTGCCAGCGTGATCTGGGTGGCTCCTCGCATGTCAACAGATGTATTAGAATTGAAAGTGGTATGTATTAAAGGCAGTGTGTACTAGTTTGGCCAGGGGGATTAGACCACCCCGCAATGTCACTGACAGGTGGTTATCTCATCAAATCAGCTCTCAACATCAGAAAAAGGGGATCATGGGGACCAATGGTCACTGATCAGGCATTGTTTGCTATAGATAGAGGGCTCAAGTAGCTGAAAGTAGTACAGTAGGGCTTTAAATATGAGGAAATGGAAGTTTGTAGAGAGAAAACAGAGATGCAATGAGTTGTCTCACATTGGAGGATCAGATGGGGTGTGGCAGGTTGAGATAAGTCTCTCAATCTACAATATATGAGTGAATTTTGTTCAATGAATGTCTTGTTTTGCCCAGCATGATCTGCATGGTTCCTCTTGTGTTACAAGATGTTTAAGAATTTGAAGTTGCGTGTGTTAATTGTTAAATGATGAGGATAATGTAATTGTTGGATACAATGACAATGTCCTTGAAATGCCCCCCCCCCCCCCCGCCATAGATTATACCCAGTGATGATAGCCTTAGTATTCAAATGATTAATTATCTTGATGGAAAGCGATGAAATGAATCATGTTCAATGAATGTCATTTATGATGAGATCATAGAGGGGATAGGAAAGGTAAGGAAACAAAATAAAAACTAGTTAGGAAATGTTTAGTGTTTCACCAAGTTTCTTGTTTTTTGCCAATTGGATGAGGGATAATGCCAATGTTATGTGGATGTGTCAAAATAAAGCGAAACCTGAATAATTATAAAGACCACCCAGGGATGATGTAAAGTGTTCTTTGTAGACAGGTCTACGCAGGTGGTTGCAAAACAGGTTTGACTGTATGTGTATATCGCATGTAAAGTGTGAGTTTGTGCTAAATTCAACATGTTGTATTTCATATACATGTACTTCAACCACTTTCCATGAAGGAGGGCTGGTCTGAGCATCAAAGAGCATGCAGAGGTCAAAGGTTATAGAGACTTGGAGAAAATTCATTTTTTTATGAACTGTACAAAGTAGACATTTGTAGACAATAATAAGGAAATGTGGCACTTGAAATAAGATAGCTGTTGCTTATTTTCAGATTTGATATTCTATCTCCTCAGATATTACTCTCAATAATTTCATTTTCTGTATGTTTGTATTAGTATTTATGTAATTCACTTGCTTTACTGATATGAAAATAAGGAAGTGGTTTTGGATCATGATATACATGTACTTGAATGACATATTTACTCGGCAAAACATGTCAAGGATGGCAGTGAAGCACCGCAAGCCTCTTGAAGTTACACTTGATTTAAAACATTTAATTAAATTGATTTGGAGACTGAATGCATATGTGAGAATGAATATGTCATTTTACTGAGAAAAATACCAATTTTTCAGAAGTGCCCCTCCCCCCCCCCCCCCCCCCCCCCCCCCCCTCCACAACCTTTTGAAAATTATTGCCCTTGCTTGAGAGTAAAATTCTGATTTTTGTTTTCCTTTTCTCTTTCATGAATAGATTGCTGAACAATTTAGAGGTAAATATGGCAAGGAATTCTTCGAGATCTGTGTGGCAGACCGAGAAAACTGGGTCAATTTGAGGGTAAGATAGCTTCTATTCTTCTAGATGTTAATTTTAATTTTTCATATCAAAATATTTTGTAATATTTTGTTATGCTATTGAGGCTCAATCACACAAGTGCAGTATGCTTACGTTAAGTTTAGTGGTTATTTTACCTGACTGCTAACAAAGCATAAATGCTTGTTAGTAAGCAACCAGATGGCCGATAGCTTTAGGTCCACTCCCAAGGGACCTGGTAATGAGGATTAATGCCTTACCAAAGGGCGCTAGCGCATCGACTTGGTTTCGAATGCGGGTCACCGGATTACGAGACCACTGCTCTACCAACTGAGCTATCGCGCCTCCTACGTTCCTACTAAGAACGTTCTGTTCTCACAGTTGAAGAACAAGGCTTGTGCAGAAAATTTCTGTAGTTTTCTAGTGAAGAATGAAAACATATCACATTATGATATCCCATCTCTATCCGCTCCCAAAGGACTTTGGCTGTCATTACCGCGGATTTAGCCGCAGCAACCGTAGCACTCAGTGCATTCAAGGAATAAATCCTACTAGATATCAAAGAAGGGATTTGAACACTGTTTATGATTGAAGGTCCAGAGACTTACTCAGTAGACCACAATACCTCTACAATTGAGCCTTGTTCAGACATTTAGTGGTTAACCATAGGTTATTTAACGTTTTACGATGACGCTAGTTTAATGAGCTTCACAGTTCTGTGTCTAATAACTCACAGCTTGTTAATTTTTTTTTTTTTATCAAATTGTTTTGTAATATATGAATTTTGATTTGTTGCGCGCAGTTGCCAATCATTTACACATACAAAAACCTTGGCATTTTCAGCAGCGTTTTATCTCATCATATCTGAACAAGCCTTAAGTGGTCACCATGTTGAATTAAATGCTAATCGTGTTGATTTACATGCAAATACTAATCACGTTTCTCCTCTTTGTCACAGTTGAAGCATAAGTTGAGTGTGAAAGCCCCTGCTGCGTCTTTAGTGGAGAACTACCTGATTGAGATTGCACGGAGCCACAATGTTCCATATGTTCCTAGCCCAATGGCTTTCAATGTGAGTTGTATTTCGATGGTAATGCCAGTTAGAGTGATGATGATCGTAATGTGAAGTGTAGCTTTAACACAAATCTTAATGAATATGCATTGGACCTTTGTTGCACGCAGTTGTCATTCATTTACACGTACAAAAAACTGTGGCGTATTTTCGTCTTTCAGAGGCGTTTTATCCAATTATATCTGAACATGACGTTAATGATAATTATAATGATCATAGTAATGAAATTAAAGATAATGATGGTAATTAAATTAATATTTGTTATAAATGAAGAAAATACTAAACAAATTAATTATAATGAGGAAAATGAAATCATTTTGAAATCTACCTTCATCAGTTTAAAGGGATAGTTGAGTTCTGTTTTCAGACCGCAAATGCCTTCAAAGTGCATGGTTATTGCTCTTATTCTTATTTATGACATTTATAGTGCCCTTTTAGAACCTAAAATTGCTATGAAGGTAATTTTAGACCCCAAAATGTGTGAAATTTAGCTAATACGATCTTACCAATTCAGCTCCACTTAAAAAAAACATGGTGACCGTTAATTAATTATTTAATTAAAGTAATAATAGCAATCCATGTTGTAGTAAAGGAGTAGTCAACATCATATCATCTCCACTATCTATTTCTTAACCTGCCCACAGGGTGAAGATATGGAGCAATTGCTCATCGATATGGACGACAAGGGGAAGCCCCCATCGGGTCCCCCAGGGGGTCCCAGTGGAGGTGGTGGTGGGGGCGGAGGCATGCCTATAGCACAGATGCCAAGCGCCCCTCCACCACAGCCTCAGCCTCAGGCACAGGCACAGGCACCGACACCATACCCTCCAGCAGTACACCCTGGAATGGCCTATCCACCTCAGCATGTAAGTACAGTGAAACCTGCTTAGCGACCACCTGTGTAGAAAGACCACCTGTCTCTGTATTAATTGGTCTAGAAACCGTTAGAGTCTGCCTCTAATGTCAGTTTCATATGTACCTTTGTTAGCCTTTACCTTTGTGCATTGGGTCTTGTCTAAATTTGTGCTATTACATCTACAGAAGAATTCAGCTTTTCTGTCTTTATACAAAAAAATTGGAGCCACATGCCTTATTGCATACTTTCGGGGGCCATTCCTTGCTTAATCTAAATTTGGTTTGATGCTCTGTTTTACCCAACTGTTAAGAAAGTATGTGTTTGCTTGTAAGTAAGCAGCCAGGACTTGGTAATGAGGATTAATGCCTTATCAAAGGGCACTAGTGCATTGACTTGGTTTTTAACCCAGGACCTCCAGGTTACGAAACCACTGCTCTACCACTGAGCCATGGCATCTCCTTAATTTAGGTGAAAGTAAACCTATTGAATGCCAATGATAAAGCAAGGCACTGTGCATGATTCCTTACTAACCCATCCTATTTCTATCCTTTTAATATTGCCTGAGTGCTGCATTTGCTTTATACTCCCAACTTCATATTTGCAATTTTTTTTTAAAGCATACTAAGGCACGATGGTCCTTTCTTACGCAATATTTATGACACATATCAATAGCTGCCAAGTAGGGTACTCCCCCCCCCCCCCCTCTGCCAAGATGTTTTCCACAATTGGGGACAGAGCATTCATGAACTAGTGCTCCAAAACTGTGGAATAACCTACCCAGATTTCTTCGCAACCAGCAATCTGTCAAAAATATCTCAATAACATATTTTAAAGCGTATTTGCATGTGCATATGAAAAATACGCTGTATAATGTATTGTTACTATTATCATTAAGGGTATGATAAACAAACAGAGTTGAGTTACCTGTTGTATTTCAACTCCTTATGAGGTTGCATGACACATGCTCCTGTGAAATTATGCTGTAGGATTTCCTACACTAACCAAATTCTTAACTGCAACCCTGGACCAAATACTACATGTATATATAATCCTATCCTAAGCCTAAACCTAACCTAAAACCTAACTGTTACCCTAACCTTCTACCTATTTCTGCCAAAATAAGCCAATATTTATAAGCAGCATCTAAGCCTGGAGCAGTTGTCGCCAGAGGAAATGTAGGTCACCCTTTATGATATGTTACATGCTTTTAAAGTCCTCTCTGAAAACAAAAGCGCACACAAAGTATCCATATCGATATTGGTCCAAATCATAATTGAATATCAATGCTACTCTATATCTATTATCCTCTAATTTTAATACATATGTAACAAAACATTTGAATTCCTCTTCCACAAATTTCCTCATTTATTCCCCTAAATGAACTCCAAAAGCTGTTTTAGATTGAAATAAATTAACTCAGCTTCTTATTTGAATACCAGTGTACCTGAAAAACTAGAAGCATCACAGGATATTCTTAAATTTGTTGGTTTGTGTATTTGTCTATACATAGAACAAGGGTGGTCCCCCACCCCTCCCTTGTAAACCCCCAGTGGGGGGCTTACCTAATGGACCGGTGAGTTACGTGTTGTGTCTGTCCAAACAGGACTGTCTCATCTCCCTCTGGCTTTGGCTCATGCTCTGGCTGTGTCTGTCCCTGTCTCACTCTCTTTCCCGTCCTCATTTTTATTGTTGGTCTCTCTGTCTCCCACTCTCTGCTTTCACTTGTTTTTATCTGTTTCTCTATCCCTCCTCCACCTCTATCTCCCTTTGACCCATTTTCTTGCTCCTGATCTCATCCCCCCTCCCTCTCTCTCTTTCTCCAATCCTCTCTCTCTCTCTCTCTCTCTCACTCTCTCATTTTCTTTCTCCCACTCTGCCTGTCTCACTGTCTGTTTGTCTGACTCTGTCTTTTTCTTCATATGTTTCTCCCAGTTTCTCTCTATATCTTTGTTTCACTCTGTGAAGTATTCTCTCAATGTCTTTACCTCCATCCTCTCCTTCCCTCACCTCCCCTCTTCCCCCCCCCCCTCTCTCTCTCTCTCCCCCTCTCTCTCTCTCTCTCCCCTCTCTCTCTTTCTCTCCCTCCCTCACCTCTCTCTTTCTCTTTTCCTCTCTTGCTCACGCCATCTCTCTCTCTTAATGAATTCATTCAGACAAATAAAGTCAAACGTATTTCATCCTTCACGTGCCCAATCTACCACTCTCTGTTTTCTCACTCTGTTGCCTCTCCCATTTCAATTTCCATCTTTGTTTCATGAAACTTTCATCTACCATCCCAACTAACCTTTGTATACAACAAACACTGTTTAAACATTACTGTACTGAACCGTTGTAAAACTAAGCTATAATAATTATTCCAATTTTCAAATGCTTAAACATATTTCAAGCTTATACAAGTGAATCATGTACATGCAATAATTGTATGGTTCATTGATACGGGCGAATATAGACATGGTGTAAATATATTTTTTCATCTGTATGTCACTCACGGTTCGCCAAACATATAGGCCCGAATTCACAAAGGAGGTTTGTCGACAAACCTAGGATTATGTGCGTCATATGACGTTTGTAAAAACGCTTCGAAACGCGACATTTGACGCACATAAACCTAGGTTGGTCGACAAAATCTCCTTTGTGACTTCGGTCATAAAGTTTAAAACATTTTTTGTTACCTGAGGTGCTATTATGTACATGTATATGTTATATGTTATACATGTATATTATATTTATTACCATGGGTCTTGATACCATGAATGGGTGATTGAATGAATTTCAAAACATTTTATCTCTTATGCTGACCATCTATCTTATTTCATCTTCCTTTACTTCTTCTTCATCTTTGTCTCCTCCTCCTTCTCATCATCCTTCTTCTTTTTCTTCTCATTCTTCTTGATCATCTATCTATGCTATTCCATATTCCCCTTCCTCTACTTAGTCTTCTTACAAGCAAAATCTTCTTCTTGCTTTTTATGTTCTATTCCTTTTGCCTCATTCCCCTCCACCTTTTTTTAATGTGATTTATGAAACATAAAAGCAAATAGTCATTCATACACATATATCAACATTCATTATACTCATAACATATTTTCAAAAAGTTTCATGTATCGGTACCTTCATATGAAATATCATTTTTTATCTTTCATATCTGGTAATGCATAATATGTACTCATGTAATACCTACATTATTATACTTTTCAATATATTGTTCTTTTTAATTGTTTATCTAATAACTTCTTTGTATTCATGGTGATCAATGAGAAGCTTATTTTAAACCTATTCCTAGAAAAAACAAATCACTTCACATTCATGTAACTCAATTTCTGTTTCTTCTTCTTCTTTTTTTTCTTCTTTTTCTTATCATCACCATTATAATTCAACAGGGAATACACTCTTTCTTCTCTAGAAATTTATATATATTTATATATTTTTAAAATTCAATAGCGCCTTCTTTTTTTATCAGAATACTTTACAATTGGATTGTTCTCAACAAATTATTCCATCAACAACACTGAATTCTTCACTTTTATACCATCTGAAATTTACTAGAACATAATATTCTTTCATTTCAGAAACATGGGGAAAACAATTTGTACATGTATAATTTGTACTCACTTTCTAACAGTCTTAATATGTTAACGACATCCAGTATATGACAGTTACGAAGATATAAATGTACAAAACGCTTAAGTTTGTTTGTCCTTGAATAATAAATTCATAATGTGCCAACTCCTCATGAATAACTTGCTCAAGGCACAAAAGAAGTACACGTAACGTGTAAAATAGAATTGCTAACTTGCGTGATAAAACTGATTAGCGTTGCTTTAAATGTCAAACAAATGTCATCCCTACGTGTATCTATAAAACGAACTCCCCCAAATATGATCAACAACAAAAACTGCAGGAATTTAATACTTGTCAATTTGTCTCTTGGAGGGCCATTATGGAAAATGTTTGTTTTTCACAGCCCATAGATGCAAATTATTATAAGAGCTGCATGATGTAAGATGCCTGTAAGATTCAATATTTTTTGTTTTACAAGAGGCTAGCTGCAAAGCAACCCATATAACGAGCCCCTCTCCCGAGAATTTTCAAAAATCCAATATGTGAATAGTTTCTTTTCTGTTTTGAAAGTTTAAGTATTATTTGGTGTGTTTGCATGTTTTGTTTGTTACCATAGCAACCACCAATGGGTGCAGCCGGTGGCTATCCACAGATGCCAAACCCTCTCCCACCCAGTGTGCCTGTAAGTACATTGATTAAGGTTTCCTATCAGTGCTGGGGGGGGGGGGGGGGAGGATGTTTCACAAAGACTACAATAGACTTTAAGTTGGACTTTAAGTTGGACTTAACTATGGCAGGCCATTGATGCCACTGTTTGCTCTCACCGTTTACTGGCATTGGTCTCTCAAGGGACGAACAAATCATGGTCACAAATCTACAGATTTTATTTGTTTTGATAATTCATTATTGAAGAAAAAAATATTATCTAAAGATCATATTGATGAGAGCAAACAGTAGCATGAACGACCTGCTGTAGTTGAGTCCAACTCAGAGTCGATCTTGGTCTTTGTGAAACACTCCCCTGGAGCGTAAAACCATAGCTCTTTGAGAGGGATAGTTGCGGCACACACACTCAAGCACTCTCAAAGGTCAAATCATGGAGCTCCCTCCCACATACAATCTCTATGGAAGGGAACTACGGTACTCCATAAATTCAAACAAGTGCGACTCCTGTTGATGTAACTATCTCTACTCTTCTAGCTCTGCATGTAATATATTCAACATCTTTTGTCAGAAGGGAATGATTCCCGTCGTCCAGTATGATTGTTTTCTCATATGGGCTTTCGCACAGGAGAAGTGACTGTATTCTGCAATGTGTCACAGAATGGTCTATTCACAGCGTGCCATTACGCTACGCTGTTTATGGAGCTTTTTAGCACATGCTGCAGCACATATTGCACAGAGATGGACAGACAGACAGACAGACAAGCAAACGCACATTGGCAACCTTCAATGATTTGTTTGCATCAGAGACACTTTGATATCTTATTTTGCACATCCATCTACCAGCTTCTTGTTCCCTATTAAAGCATTGCATATGATTTCAATTTGTTTGTATATAGCATGCTACTTCACTGGATTTAGACTTACCCATCAATATATTGATTTTTCTTTTTCTCTTTGTATTAGGCTCCACCATATGAATTTCATGACAGCAACCCAACTCCATGTAAGTATCATCGACTTGACATGTTTTTGTGAAGAAATGAGGCTTTTTAACTGTTTTATACTGTTGTGAAACTAAAAAAAGAGGGAGCCATTTAATTGTCTCACTCATACATATAGAAAATTTACTTGTAATTGCTCAGCTTTTCCTTTCAAAAGTCATGTATGATATTTTAACTGAAAGCTCCATGATCTTTGAATTATTTTGATCTGTTTTATCGTTATGACATGAACCAAAAAAGGAGGATGAAAAGTTCAATTTGTATGTAAGTTATCTGTATTCAGATGAGGCCTAAAATAAAAACTTGTTGTATTGCCCTTTGGGTGCCAAAACATGGGGTTTTTTTTTGTCGCCCTCTTTGGGCCGATATTTGCAGATTTGAAATTTATTTTTCTTTTTCCCACCCTCTTTTAGCTGATATTTCTCAGTTTGAATGCTTTAATACATTTGCTTCAGCATCATCATTCCATTGATATCTTTTTTACCTCATAATTATCCATGGTTTGCACGAGTGAAAATTTTGGAATAATTTGATTTTATGCATTTATATCCCATTTAAACAAACAAAATACATATATTTTATTCATTAATAAAAAGAAATCTAAGAAACTGTTTAAAAAAAAAAAAAAAAATGCCGACCGTAGATTTTCAGATTTTTGGGTCGATCGCAAAGGGCAATACAACAAGTTTTTATTTTAGGCCTGATGAACAGGATCACACTATTCCCTCTACCTACTTGCATTACTGTACCTATCCTATACCAATATGTTATTTTCCATCTCTTTTCAGACCCTCCTCCAGCAGCTACCAACACCCCTACCCAGCCTCCGGTGATGCCCCCCTCCCAGCCCCCCACCTCTCAGCTGCCCAGTGATAGTATCCCCAACCTCCCTGCCGTACCCATCAACTCATTCCCTCCCCTCGATGCCACCGTCGGGGGCAAGTCCGCAGGAGGGGAGGACGTGGACTTCGATGACCTCACCAGAAGGTTTGAAGAACTCAAGAAGAAAAAATAAACTATTATCACTCTCATTCTCTATTTTCTGATCATATATTATTTAATTCATAACCGATTTACCGGTATGTAATTTCTTACTACATAGAAGTTTAACTATGTTTTTGAAAAAACTTTTGTAATATTATGGAAGCAGCGAAACTGTTGACTGAACCTGCAAGAGTAAAAGTTCTTCATTTATTTTAACAAGCATGTACTACATGAATTATATAATTATGTCACATAGAATTATAACATAAAACAGATAATTAATTGCATAGGTTGTATGGTTGCATTGTGTAAGATGAAAATATATTTTGCTGAAATATTCTTAGCTAAGTGTGGTGAAGATTCTTAGACTTTTACACTAGTGCAGCGTGAAGTTTGTGTAATTGACTATAGGAGACTATGAATATATTAAGTCTAGCCTTTTCAAACAATCTCATTTATGAAAAATTAAATAATCAAGTCATTTGTGACTGTCAAAAAGAAACAAGGAAATTGCCTTAACACATGTCGATGTTCTTTCATTTTTGTAAATGTTTCGTTAGTTCTGTTGTGCTTGATGCAATTGCTGTAAGCCATATTCAATATATACCGATATTGGATAAATTTCTCCCTTCTAACTCATTGAGTTCTAAACCTGAGATACATATAATTGACTTAAACTCATGAAAATGTATTCTGGGTGAAAACTCAACAAATTCTGATGGTTAAATGGTATGAATCATTGTTTGTATTGAAATACTAGATGAAACAATAGTAGGCTGTTAGGTTCATTTTGAATCACTCACTTCTGTCATTCAAGTTATTTTATTCCGAATTGAATTGAATTGAAGAGGTGTATTGCTAAAAAAAATTATTCGCGGCAAAAGGTCCAATTGCAAAAACTGTTACAAAGTAAAAATACAAAATATTTACAATCATGATAATTATAAAACAGTAATTGAAGAACATAATAATGAAATAAGAGATACATGTATGTTACCTTCCATGCACAGAGATATGATATTACATGATTGAGGTGAAAAAAGGTGTTCAGTGTTGGCTTAAAATGACTAATCTCAAATCATATTGTAGATTGAGCTTAAAGGAAGTGATACATGCAGCTTTACGACTTAATGTAAGGGGATTACTCAACAGCTCTCAATGTCCTCATCACATGAATGATTGCTTCTCTGATATGTGAGGATTAATTCTGTATTGAAACATGCTTTGTGTGAGAGGATTTTGTGGTTTAAGCTTGGATTAGCCTCAACAACAACAATAGCATCTAGGCTTGTCATTATGTATAATGTTGGTTAATTATTTTCATATCTATTAATTCTTAACTTGATATGGATCAAAACCAGATGCTGCCTTATTGTTATGAGCATGTATGTCAAGGTGGTCCACAAAAAAAGATTCAAACATGTGAAATTGAAATTTGGAAGGAGTATGAACTGATGTGTGCGAAGTGCAAAGTCTCTTGTTGCTGGGGTCTAGGCACTATGAACATGACGAACAAAGAAAGCGGACAAAATATACAGTTCCTCAGGTAGATAAAGGAACATCCCTTCACTGCTATTATGTAATAAGGTGAATATGCATGTGACACCTGTTCTACACATTTTTACATAATAGCAGTGAAGGGATGTTCCTTTGTCTACCTGAGGAACTGTATATTTTGTCAGCTTTCTTTGTCAGTCATATTCATAGTGAGGGCTTACTTAAGGGCTCTATAGGGTTCCTATTATGGAGCATTTTTAAACAAACATAATTTATGATCAATATTTCAGAATTAATTTTGGATGAGAATGAATTTCATAACCTACCATTGCTTTTCAAACTTGTAATTTAAAATTTCATACCTGCTACTAATTTTTCCAACATGTAATTTAGAAATTCGAACCTGTCGCTGTTACATGTTTAACCACCTTGTGGACCACCCTGATGAACCCTGTTTGTGTGAAAATAGTCAATTGTTGCAGCCCAGGTTGAGTTCCAGTAGTTGGTCAACCAAAGCATGGAAAGGGTTAAAAGAAACACCATTATACAACTAATTACGTTTTTGTTATCTTAAGACATCATTTTTAGTGCAATCAACTTTAGCCTCAAGGTACTAAGCTTCTAATAAAGAATTTGATTAAGTTTTAAGCTTGTAAATGT